GGGGGTTTAAAATAGAGTTTGAGCAAAAGAAGGAGTAGCAATAAGTTAAAGGGATAAGCTAGGGCGGGGAAAAGGGGACTAAAAATGATTAAATTTCAAGGATTATGGGGAGTAAAATAAAGATTAGGAAAAGGGGTTATAATAAGCGGTATGCACCTGGAGAAGAGAGAAGTGTAGAGGGAAAAGAGAGATTTTGGGAAAATGTTAGTGAATGCGTGGGGAGTTTTGAATCAATTTTTGAGAGTAATGGTGGGTTTGGGGGTTTCAAAAAGCTAAGTGGGTAAAAATGTTAGGAGGGATTTGTAGGGTTAAATTTGGGGGGCCAGGGGTAAATGTAAAAAGGGGGCCTTTAATTGGCTATGTGTAGAAAGAAATTTTGGGAATAATAATACATTTTTATGAAAAAAAAGGATAAAAAAATTTCAAGGTATTTATGTAGCACGTAAAGAAAGTAGTTTATTAGTTTTATTGGTGGGGTAAAGGTTGAGGGTAGGTCCCGGAGTCTTTTATAGAGGGGCAATGATATATCGGAAACATTATTTAGTTGTGCTAAGTTAGAGTAGGGAGATGGGAAAAAAGGGGGGGGGCAACAACAAGTAAGAGGGGGTGAAAATGTATTAAAAATAAGGGGGAGGGAAATTGGGGGGAGTTAAGCGACTATTGGGAGAATGGTGGGCTAGTGCAAAGAAGAGTAGTGGGGGGGTTGAAAAGGGTTGGAATAGTTTTAAAAATGCAGTATTAGAATGTGGGGCAGAAGTTTGTGGTTATAGGAGGGTGGGGGCAGGAGGAAAGAGGAGTGATTGGTGGAATGATGAAGTAAAGGGTGTGATAAAAGAGAAAAAGGTAGCTTATGAGAGGTTTTTACAAAGCAGAAGTGTTATAAGAAGAGCAGAGTACATGGAGAGTAAAAGAAAGGTAAAGAGAGTGGTGAGAGAGTGCAAAAGGAGAGCAGATGATAGAGTGGGAGAGGCACTGTCAAGAAATTTTAATGAAAATAAGAAAAAATTTTGGAGTGAGTTAAACAAGTTAAGAAAGCCTAGGGAAAATATGGATTTGTCCGTTAAAAACAGAGTAGGGGAGTTAGTAGATGGGGAGAGGGAGGTATTAGGTAGATGGCGAGAATATTTTGAGGAACTTTTAAATGTTGAGGAAGAAAGGGAGGCGGTAATTTCATGCACTGGCCAGGGAGGTATACCATCTTTTAGGAGTGAAGAAGAGCAGAATGTAAGTGTGGGGGAAGTACGTGAGGCATTACGTAGAATGAAAGGGGGTAAAGCAGCTGGAACTGATGGGATCATGACAGAAATGTTAAAAGCAGGGGGGGATATAGTGTTGGAGTGGTTGGTACTTTTGTTTAATAAATGTATGAAAGAGGGGAAGGTACCTAGGGATTGGCGGGAGAGCATGTATAGTCCCTTTATATAAAGGGAAAGGGGACAAAGAGATTGTAAAAATTATAGAGGAATAAGTTTACTGAGTATACCAGGAAAAGTATACGGTAGGGTTATAATTGAAAGAATTAGAGGTAAGACAGAATGTAGAATTGCGGACGAGCAAGGAGGCTTCAGAGTGGGTAGGGGATGTGTAGATCAAGTGTTTACATTGAAGCATATATGTGAACAGTATTTAGATAAAGGTACGGAAGTTTTTATTGCATTTATGGATTTAGAAAAGGCATATGATAGAGTGGATAGAGGAGCAATGTGGCAGATGTTGCAAGTATATGGAATAGGTGGTAAGTTACTAAATGCTGTAAAGAGCTTTTATGAGGATAGTGAGGCTCAGGTTAGGGTGTGTAGAAGAGAGGGAGAATACTTCCCGGTAAAAGTAGGTCTTAGACAGGGATGGGGTAATGTCCCATGGTTGTTTAATATATTTATAGATGGGGTTGTAAAAGAAGTAAATGCTAGGGTGTTCGGGAGAGGGGTGGGATTAAATTATGGGGAATCAAATTCAAAATGGGAATTGACACAGTTACTTTTTGCTGATGATACTGTGCTTATGGGAGATTCTAAAGAAAAATTGCAAAGGTTAGTGGATGAGTTTGAGAATGTGTGTAAAGGTAGAAAGTTGAAAGTGAACATAGAAAAGAGTAAGGTGATGAGGGTATCAAATGATTTAGATAAAGAAAAATTGGATATCAAATTGGGGAGGAGGAGTATGGAAGAAGTGAATGTTTTCAGATACTTGGGAGTTGACGTGTCGGCGGATGGATTTATGAAGGATGAGGTTAATCATAGAATTGATGAGGGAAAAAAGGTGAGTGGTGCGTTGAGGTATATGTGGAGTCAAAAAAACGTTATCTATGTAGGAAAAGAAGGGAATGTATGAAAGTATCGTAGTACCAACACTCTTATATGGGTGTGAAGCTTGGGTGGTAAATGCAGCAGTGAGGAGACGGTTGGAGGCAGTGGAGATGTCCTGTTTAAGGGCAATGTGTGGTGTAAATATTATGCAGAAAATTCGGAGTGTGGAAATTAGGAGAAGGTGTGGAGTTAATAAAAGTATTAGTCAGAGGGCAGAAGAGGGGTTGTTGAGGTGGTTTGGTCATTTAGAGAGAATGGATCAAAGTAGAATGACATGGAAAGCATATAAATCTATAAGGGAAGGAAGGCGGGGTAGGGGTCGTCCTCGAAAGGGTTGGGGAGAGGGGATAAAGGAGGTTTTGTGGGCAAGGGGCTTGGACTTCCAGCAAGCGTGCGTGAGCGTGTTAGATAGGAGTGAATGGAGACGAATGGTACTTGGGACCTGACGATCTGTTGGAGTGTGAGCAGGGTAATATTTAGTGAAGGGATTCAGGGAAACCGGTTATTTTCATATAGTCGGACTTGAGTCCTGGAAATGGGAAGTACAATGCCTGCACTTTAAAGGAGGGGTTTGGGATATTGGCAGTTTGGAGGGATATGTTGTGTATCTTTATATGTGTATGCTTCTAGACTGTTCTATTCTGAGCACCTCTGCAAAAACAGTGATAATGTGCGAGTGTGGTGAAAGTGTTGAATGATGATGAAAGTATTTTCTTTTGGGGATTTTCTTTCTTTTTTTGGGTCACCCTGCCTCGGTGGGAGACGGCCGACTTGTTGAAAAAAAAATATATATATATATATATATATATATATATATATTAATATATATATATATATATATTATATATATATATATATATATATATATATATATATATATATATATATATATATATATATATATATATATATGTATATATGTATGTATGTATGTATGTTGAGGTGGTTCGGACATGTAGAGAGAATGGAGCGAAACAGAATGACTTCAAGAGTGTATCAGTCTGCAGTGGAAGGAAGGCGGGGTAGGGGTCGGCCTAGGAAAGGTTGGAGGGAGGGGGTAAAGGAGGTTTTGTGTGCGAGGGGCTTGGACTTCCAGCAGGCATGCGTGAGCGTCTTTGATAGGAGTGAATGGAGACAAATGGTTTTTAATACTTGACGTGCTGTTGGAGTGTGAGCAAAGTAACATTTATGAAGGGATTCAGGGAAACCGGCAGGCCGGACTTGAGTCCTGAAGATGGGAAGTACAGTGCCTGCACTCTGAAGGAGGGGTGTTAATGTTGCAGTTTAAAAAACTGTAGTGTAAAGCACCCTTCTGGCAAGACAGTGATGGAGTGAATGATGGTGAAAGTTTTTCTTTTTCGGGCCACCCTGCCTTGGTGGGAATCGGCCAGTGTGATAAAAATAAATAAATATATATATATATATATATATATATATATAATATATATATATATCCCCCTCTGGGTTTTCTTCTATTTTCTTACTAGTTCTTATTCTTGTTTATTTCCTCTTATGCCCATTGGGAAGTGGAACAGAATTCATCCTCCGTAAGCTATGCGTGTTGTAAGAGGCGACTAAAATGCCAAGAGCAAGGGGCTAGTAACCCCTTCTCCTGTATAAATTACTAAATTTAAAAAGACAGACTTTTGTTATTCTTTTTGGGCCACCCTGCTTTGGTGGGATATGGCCAGTTTGTTGGAAAAAAAAAACACGTGCAAGATTTCAGGTACATCTTGCTACTTCTACTTACACTTAGGTCACACTACACACAAATGTACACACCCCTCTGGGTTTTCTTTCAGGTTCTTGTTCTTGTTTATTTTATCTTACCTCCATGGGGAAGTGGAACAGAATTCTTCCTCCGTAAGCCATGGGTGTCGTAAGAGGCGACTAAAATGCTGGGAGGAAGGGGCTAGTAACCCCTTCTCCTGTATATATTACTAAATTTAAAATGAGAAACTTTCATTTTTCCTTTTGGGCCACCCCACCTCAGTAGGATACGGCCAGCGTGTTGAAAGAAGTTTATACTTTAATTGCCAAGGGTAATTAAAAAAATTATTTATCTAGTTAGAGCACTTTAAATTTGAAAGCTACTTACCTGCTGTTAACCTCAAGGGTTACTGTATTTTAGTTATATTTTTTTATTTATTAAACTCAATTAAAAATACAATACAGTGGACCCCCGGTTAACGATATTTTTTCATTCCAGAAGTATGTTCAGGTGCCAGTACTGACTGAATTTGTTCCCATAAGGAATATTGTGAAGTAGATTAGTCCATTTCAGACCCCCAAACATACACGTACAAACACACTTACATAAATACACTTACATAATTGGTCGCATTGGGAGGTGATCGTTATGCGGGGGTCCACTGTATAGTTGAATGTGCCAGATACACTGGTAAAAGAAAACGGGAATAATTTGGATAAGAAACTTCATGGGGACTTCAACAAAAAGTATTGTTATCCCAGGGGTGCTAACCCTCACTGCAAGGCCAGCTTTTATGAGGGTATAATACATGTAATGTCAAATAAAGCTAAATTTTTTTACATTTTCAGAGTACTCTGAAGAATGTTTTTGTTAATGTAGTTCACATTTAAATCTATAAACATACTATTATTATGCTGTATTTTAGTTTTATTATGAGGGAAGGTAATTTATATTAACTGACTGGTATGTTATCCCCTAAACAGTTTGGTTGGTGCTGCTGCTGTGTTGACATGTATATCCACATTCTTGCATGAATTCCCACAATTTGCCACTGATCCTGCTGCCAATGCAATTAAAACTGCTCTCTTCTTGGGAACTTACATTGGAGGTGTTACATTCAGGTATGTACTGTATTTTCTTTTTGTATGAGCAGATCATTGTTGTTCAGTGTATGAAACCTTAGGCCTTTGCTGTCATTTATGTTACCATATTATTATTATTATTATTATAATCAAAAAGAAGCGCTAAGCCACAAGGGCTATACAGCATATGTTACCATAGAGGACTGAAAGGGAGCAAGGGGCTAGTAACCTCTTCTAATGTATAAATTATTAAATTTTAAAAGAGAGACTTCCATTTTTCTCTTTGGGCCACCCTGCCTTGGTGGGATACAGCCAGTTTGTTGAAAGAAGAAGAGCACTGAAAGTATGGTAGATAAAAATAACTGCTCTTGCAAGCTGGCTTGCCTGATCTCTCATCATTTTGCACCAACCCCCATTTTCTGTTTTGTCACTTCCATGTCTTATACTTTCCAAAACTTGTTTAAAAATTTCTTTGTGATCACATGATACTTGCAACACACTTTCCTCACTCATTCATTATTGTGTTGCTAATCATAGAATCTAGTGCTATGTTGTCTCATTTTCCATTCTACACTACTTTTGTAGGACAAATTATTCAACATCTAAAATAATTTGGTGATATTTCTCAGTGCATACATAAATACATGTGACTTCCTTCAGTGGTTCACTGGTGGCTTATGGCAAATTGCAAGGTCTTCTGGATTCTGCGCCCTTACTCCTACCTGGCCGCCATGCCTTGAATGCTGGTCTTCTGGCAGCCAATGTGGGAGCGATGGGTTACTATATGGTAGACCCCTCACTCACTGTTGGACTTTCAATGTTAGGAGCAACTACTACCATGTCTGCTCTCATGGGCGTCACTCTCACAGTGGCTATTGGAGGTTTGTTGTCTTTTTTTCTTATTTTTAAAATGCTAAAGATTGAAGATGTGTAGCGGAAATAACATTATGTACTTCATCTTAGTAGTTTTTTTTTCTTTGTTCTCTCAACAAGTCGGCTGTCTCCCACCTAGGCAGGGTGACCCAAAAAGCAAGAAAATACTTTCATCATCATTCAACACTTTCACCTCACTCATACATAATCACTATCTTTGCATAGGTGCTCAGATACGACAGCATAGAAGTCCCTCCAAATTGTCAATATCTTAGACCCCTCCTTTTAAAGTACAGGCATTGTACTTCCCGTTTCCAGGACTCAAGTCCGGCTAAATCTATAATAACCGGTTTCCCTGAATCCCTTAACTGAATGTTACTCTGCTCACACTCTAACAGCTCAAGTCCCAAAAACCATTAGTCTCCATTTACTCCTATCTAACACGCTCAGACACGCTTGCTGGAAGTCCAGGCCCCTTGCCCACAAAACCTCCTTTACCCTCTCCAACGTTGTCGAATATAACCCCTACCCCTCCTCCCTTCCCCTACAGATTTATATGCTCTCCAAGTCATCCTACTTTGATCCATTCTCTCTAAATGACCAACCACCTCAGCAACCCCTCTTCAGCCCTCTGACTAATACTTTTAGTAACTCTACACCTCCTCCTAATTTTCACACTCCAGATTCTCTGCATAATATTTACACCATACATTGCCCTTAGGACATCTCCATGGCCTTCAGCCACCTCCTCGCTGCAGCATTTACAACCCAAGCTTCACACCCATAAAAGTGTTGGTACCACTATACTTTCATACATTCCCTTCTTTGCCTCCATAGATAACATTTTTTGTCTCCACAGATACCTCAATAGTAATAGTAATATTAGATTAATTACATATTTATTGAGTGATTTTAGTTTTCCCACAGCCGTTTGACTCGCTTGTGCAAAAAATATGAAATTTTGTGTAGTATGTCAGACTTGATTTAATGAAGCAAGAATGTTAATAAAATATGTAGAGAATTCAGTTAAGCTTTCCACTGATTACTGTTATACTTAAGGAAAATATTTTTTTTAATATTAAGAGTTGTGCGTGTTTACCTAAATGTCCACTGCTTATAATAGTCATTTTGAAAAGAAAAAACTATCAATGAAATTACAAAATTTAATTAGCATTCACTCTTGCTTGAATAAGGTCATCCAATAGCATTGTATATAGTGCAAAATTTTTAGCCAGAGTTGTTAATAGCATTGTTAGATATTGCATTCTTGGGTATGACCCTCAAGCTTTCTCATAGAAAATACATGTATATATTTTTGTACATGCTTATTACTAGGTTAGTTCTTACTTTTATTAAGAGTGAGAAAATGTCAGTTACAAAAATTATTGTGGCAGGTGCCGATATGCCAGTGGTGATCACAGTGTTGAACAGTTACTCTGGGTGGGCCCTGTGTGCTGAGGGCTTCATGTTGAATAACAATCTCATGACAGTTGTCGGTGCTCTGATTGGTTCCTCTGGTGCTATCCTCTCGTACATCATGTGCAAGGTCAGTTTGGTTCTGGCACTACTATACAAAAAGCGGTATTTGACATGTAAATCCACGTAGGTGTATTATGAGGTTTGTGTTTAAATTTAATTACCATTAAGTAGTTCAGTAAACCCTGTACAGTATAACTGCTGGTTATATTATACTTTTAACTCCTTTATTTTCAAAGTTTATTGCAATAACTAAATTCTGTGTACAGTCCTATAATAGGTATGCAGTAGAGTGCTTCAGCGCTTTTTTTTTTAATAGCTTTAAACATTATTCTGATTTAATAGGCATTCAGACAATCCTCCTCTTCCCCCCATCCCCACCAAGACTGTTATATATCAAGGGTTTACTGTACCTGATTTTTTTTTTTAGTTCTTATGATATTTGGGAATACTTCACAATACAAAAACACTTGTAGTTGCAATAAGATTTTTTTTTTTTTTAGATTCTGTATGTCTTTATGGCAGCTGTAGGTCTATATTGAGATAAATAATATTGAGTTATTATCTATACAGTACTATATTTACAAAAGGAGAGTTTGAATAATTTCTGTTGGGAGTACCAGTCTTCAGTTAGATTTATAGAAAATTTATTTATGTAATCTACATGCATTTTATTGTTCAGGCCATGAATCGGTCCTTGCCCAATGTCATTATGGGAGGCTTTGGCACTTCTTCAACTGGCACTGGAAAGCCCATGGAGATCACTGGCACACATACAGAAACAAATGTTGAGCAGACAGTAGAGATGATGACCAATGCCAAGAACATTATCATTGTACCAGGTGAGACTTAATTTTCTTTTTTTATATATAATTCTCTATGCATCTCCCACCAAGGCAAGGTGACCACCCCCCTAATTTATACAAGAGAAGGGGTTACCAGACCTTTACTCCTGGCATGGATTATGGAGGAAGGATTTTTCTCCACTTCCTATAAAGAATAGGAAATTTAATCTACAAAATTAGTAATGTGTTTCATAGCCAAGACTAACCTTCAGAATTACTGTAGTAGTAACTTGTTTCAAAGCTGAAACTACATTATATATAAATTTCTATCTCTTGGAGAAGTTACCCAAACTTGATTTTAATTGTGTATATCGTTAGCTGTTTGTAGCAGATTAACATTTAGTATTAGCTTTTATTAATTACGTACTGGTAAATTAACAGATTGGTTATTTCCAGGTTATGGATTGTGTGTTGCGAAGGCCCAGTATCCAATTGCAGAAATGGTTGATATTTTGAGGAAGAAGGGCAAGAATGTAAGGTTTGGTATCCATCCTGTGGCTGGTCGTATGCCTGGACAACTCAATGTTTTACTGGCAGAAGCAGGAGTACCATATGATGTAGTGCTCGAAATGGACGAGATCAATGATGACTTCCCTGAAACAGATCTAGTACTTGTCATTGGTGCAAATGACACTGTTAATTCTGCTGCCGAAGATGATCCTAATTCCATTATTGCTGGTATGCCAGTCCTACGTGTATGGGTGTCTAATCAGGTGAGTTCCATGCTTAAACTTTTGAAAATTTCATTATTTGACCAAAGAAATTGACATCTTCCTCTCCTCCCCATTCCATAAAATTTATGCAAAGGCTCTAACTTTCAAGTTAATTCTTACATATTTTTGTATATAGTTATTGCCTCAGAGTACCCCTCTTATATCACAAAGCCCTCTTTTTGAAACTACCTTGTTCAGATCTCTTCAGCTTTCACTTTATCTAATACTTGAACTCCAGAGTAAAGTTCGCACTATGTACATTTTATAGATATTGACACAAGTTTTAAACTGTATACTGTATATTAAAGTATATAGCCATTTCTTGTATGCCATACAACTTTTAGTAAAAAATATTATCCTTCACAGTTATCATAGATGCTGAAATTCCTGTGTATTCCAGTGTACAGTATTTAATGAATGGCTGTCAAATTTCTGTTAATCCTTTACTGTAATGCTTCACCTGGACTCTCCATTTGTTGGTATACCAATCGTCATCTCTATTTGTATGAAAATTGAATTTCCTCTTATCAGTTTTGTAACACAATTTTAACCTGTAGGTCATCGTGATGAAGCGCTCTTTAGGTGTTGGTTATGCAGCCGTCGACAATCCTATCTTCTTCAAACAAAATACCAACATGTTACTTGGAGATGCCAAGAAGACATGTGATGCTCTTCTCACCAGACTCAAGGAACACTACGAGTAATTGTCACTACAGAGTTAACAGTTAGATGCCACTTAACTACTGTACCACCTAAAAAAATTCCTTTGCAGTCAACTGAATGTTCAGTTTGCTCTCAATTTCTGATTTTCTACATCAGTTTTCTTTCTAAATCTCAGGTTTACCAACTGGAATGTAGACCATTTATGTAAGGAAGTTATTTATACTTTAGATTGCATCAACAGGTAATAGTTAAATGGAAAATTCCACCATTAGTCTGTCACTTTCAGTTGTTGGCCCCTTAGTATTGGGGCCTGTTTTTAAATGTAAAAATTAAAGTGCATTATGTGAATTATAACCAAAGTAATATGAGTTAGGCCTTCAGTAGTGCAAATAATTAATATTCAAATGTTGAACAAACTAGCATGAGTCAGAGGTGGTGATGTAAGGCATTAACATTTTAGTTAGTGACCCAATTTTATAAAGTTGTAAAATACTTGCTGTATTTTTCTAGAATGGTGTAATACTGTACTGTTCAGTCTGTTGTGTTGAGATTCCCAATGCTGAGAAAATGGCCAGATTCAAGCGTTAGTACAGACGATAAGTTGTTTTTAACAATGGCAATAAATAACTTGTGCATTTTGTTGCAAGTTTAAGGTGTGTATTTATGGGGTCTATGAGTTGAGGAATGATTTTAGCTGATAAATAAATAAATAATTTTGTAGGTTTTTTCTCCAAACCTTTATACTGCAAACTGTTTATTAATGTAAGCCGAAATGAAAAAGTGCTATACAATACTAAGAGAAAATTGGTTTAACTTGGAGTCTTAAATACCCACGTGCAGATTACAGGCTACAAAAAATAAAAAAAAAAAAAAAATGGGAATTTACTCCGTATATATGGTAGTAGTAGGTGGTAGACAGCAACCACCCAGGGAGGTACTACCGTCCTGCCAAGTGAGTGTAAAACGAAAGCCTGTAATTGTTTTACATGGTAGGATTTGCTGGTGTCTTGTCTGGTCCATAAATATGCATGATTAACAGGCATGATCTTGCTACTTCTTACTTACACTTAGGTCCCACTTTACCATACATGTTAAACGTTTTATTTATACATGACTCATGTCTGAGTTTTCTTGATTTTTCTTAATAGTTTCTTGGTTCTTACTACTTTTCCTTTTATGATTCCATGGGGATGTGGAATGAGAATTTTCCTCCGTAAGCCTGCGTCGTTGTAAAAGCAACTTAAAATGCACGGAAAACAAATGGGCTAGTAACCCCTTTTCCTGTAAAGTTACTAATAAGATTAAGAAGAATAAATTGCATAAGTGGGAAGTCTGAATGTGTGTGGATGTGTGCAAATGATAAGAAGAGATGATTGTGGGATGTTATGTATGAGAAGAAACTGGATGTCCTGGCTTTAAGTGAAACAATGCTGATAGGGGCGGTGGGAGAGTTTCAGTGGAGAGGATTAAATGGGTTAGGTCAGGGTTTCAAATAAAGCTAAGAAGGAGTAGCTATAATGTTGAGGTTAAGTTATGGCAGGAAAAAGAGGACTACTAATGTATAAATTCAAGGATTTTGTGGAAGCAAATAAAGATTGGATGTGAAAAGTGGGTTTTAGTAAGCGTGTATGCACCCTGGAGAGAAGGAGAAGTGTAGAGGAGAAGAGAGAGATTCTGGGGAAATGTGTGAGTGAATGCATGGGGAGTTTTGAATCAAGTGTGAGAGTAATGATGGTTGGGGATTTCTTGCTAAAGTGGGTTAAAAATGTTTTGGAGGGAGTAGTAGGTAAATTTGGGGTGCCAGGGTAATGTAAAGGGGCAGCTTTAATTGAGGTATGTGTAGAGAAAGAAATTTGGTTAATAAGGTAATACTATTTAAATGAAAAAAGGGATAAATAATATAAAGGTATGAATGTAGCTCGTAATGAAAATAGTTTGTTAGATTATGTATTGGTGGATAAAGGTTGATGGGTATAGGGGGGGGGACTCCCAGGATGTACATGTTTATTAGAGGGGCTACTGATTATATCGGATCATTATTTGTTGTAGCTACAGTTAAGAGTAAGAGGTAGATGGGAAAAGAGGAAGGTGGGGCTACAACAGTAAGAGGGAGGTGTGAAGTGTATAAACTAAGGGAGGAGAAGTTCGGCGCGAGATATAAGCGACTTTGGCAGAAAGGTGGCGGCTAGTGCAAAGTGAGTAGTGGCGGGGGGGGTTGAAGAGGGTTGGAAATGTTTTAAAAATGCATGAGTATTAGAATGTGGGGCAGAGTTTGTGGTTATAGGAGGGTGTGAGGGGCTGGAGGAAGAGGAGTGATTGGTGTGGATGATGAAGTTAAAGGTGTGTTAATAAGAGGAAAAAGGTAGCTTACGAGAGGTTTTGGTTTTTTTTTTTTACAAAGGCAGCAGGAGAAGTGTTGTAAGAAGAGCAGAGTATATGGAGAGTAAAAGAAAGGTGGAAAAGAGAGTGCAAAAGGTGGAGCAGATGAAAGGAGTGAGAGGGCCACTGTCAAAAAATTTTAATGAAAATAAGAAAAGTTTTGGAAGTGAGCTAAACAAGTTAAGGAAAGCCAGGGAAAAGCATGGATTTGTATGTTAAAAACATGAGTAGGGGAGTAGTTGATGGGGAGAGGGAGGGTAATTAGGTAGTTGGCGAGAATATTTTTGTGGAACTTTTAAATGTTGTGGAAGAAAGGGAGGCAGGTTAATTTCGTTGCCACTGGCCAGGGAGGTATACCATCTTTTAGTGTGTAGGAAGAGCAGAATGTAAGAGTGGTGGAGGTTACGTGAAGGCATTAACGTAGATATGAAAGTGGGTTTTAAAGCAGCTGGAACTGTTGGATTCAGACGAAATGTTAAAAGCAGGGGGGGATATAGTGTTGGAGTGGTTGGTCTTTGTTTAATAAATGTAATGCAAAGAGGGAAGGTACCTAGGGTTGGCAGGAGGGAAGAGCAATGTATAGTCACTTTATATAAAGGGAAAGCGGGGACAAAAGAGATTGTAAAAATTATATGGGGGATAAGTTTACTGAGTATACCAGGAAAAGTATCACGGTTAGGGTTATAATTGATTGAATTAGAGGTAAGACAGGATATTGTAGGTTTGCGGGCCTTCATGAGCAGGGAGGTTTCAGAGTGGGTAGGGGACTGTGTAGATCAACGGGTTTAATTGATGCATATATATTTTTTTTTTTTTTTTTTATATCAACACGGCCGGTTCCCACCAAGGCAGGTGGCCCGGAGAAAAAAGAAAATCTTTCTCACATCATTCACTCCATTTCCTCTGTCTTGACAAGAAGGGTTGCTTTACACTACAGTTTTTAAACTGCAACATTTAACACACCCTCCTTCAGAGTGCAGGGGCACTGTACTCCCATCTCCTGAAATCAAGTCCGGCACTGAACGGTTTCCCTGATCCCTTTCTAAATGTTACTTTGCTCACACTCACAAAAGCTCGTCAGTATTAAAAAACCATCTTGTTCTCCATTCACTCCTATCAAAACACGCTCACGCATGACCTGCTGGAAGTCCAAGCCCCTCGCAGCACAAAACTCCTTACCCCCACCTCCAACCTTTTTCCTAGGCCGACCCCTACCCGCTGCCTTCCCACTACAGATTGATTCACTCTTGAAAGTGCGTTCTGTTCGCTCCATTCTCTCTACATGTCCGAACCACCCGCAACAACCCTTCTCAGCCTTGGACAACAGTTTTGGTAATCGCACCTCCTCCTAACTTCCAAACTACGTAATTCTTGCAATCTTTATTCACACCACACATTGCCCTCAAGACATGTCATTCCCACTGCCTCCAGGCCTTCTCCTCGCTGCAACATTCTCACCCACGCTTCACGCCCTTATAAAAGAGCGTTGTCTAAACTATACTCTATACATTCCCTTCTTTGCTCCAAGGACAAAAGTTCTTTGTCTCACACAGACTCTAAGTGCAACAATCAATCTTTTCCCTCATAATTTATGGATTCACTCATCTTTCATATGACCCATCGCTGACCACGTCCCACTCCCAAATATTCTGATTAGTTCACCTCCTCATACTCCTCTCCTCTCAATCTGATATTCAATCTTCATCAACCTAACTTTTTGTTATCCTCATAACACTTACTCTTTCATGGTTATTTCACCTTAATTTTCTTCTTTGCACACCATACCAAAATTCATCCACCAATCTCTGGCCAATTCTCTTTCAGTCATTCCAAGAGCACACGTGTCATCAGCAAAGAGGCTGTGACAACTCCCACTTTGTGTGTGATTCTTTATTTTTAACTCCTAGCTCTTGCCAAGGACCCTCGCCTTTTACTTCTCTAACAACCCCATCTATAAATATATTAAACATCCACGGTGACATCAACACATCCCTGGTATAAGGCCTTCTTTTACTGGGGAAAAAATTTCCCTCTTTCCTACATACTCTAACTTGAGCCTCAATATCTCGTAATAAAATCTACTTCACTGCTTTCAGTGATCCTACATCCTTAACCATACACTTGCAAACATCTGCCACATTGCCCCCCTATCCACCCTGTCATACCGGCTTTTCACAATTCCATAAATGCACAACAAAGCCTCTTTAGCCACTGTTCTAAATACCTGTTATACTTATATGTTTCACTGTAACACATGGTCCACACACCCCCCCCCCCTTTTTTTACCTTTTTCCTAAAGCCTCCTTGTTCATATGCTATCCTATTCTCCAGTCTTACTCTTATTTCGTTCAATTATAAACTCTTCCATACACTTTACCAGGTACACTCAACAGACTTATCCCCCTATAATTTTTGCCACTCTCTTTTATCCCTTTGCCTTTATACAAAGTAACCTATGATGATCTCTGCCAATCCCTAGGTACCATCACCCTCTTCCATAATTTATTAATTAATTGCACCAACCACTCCAAAATACTATAGCCACCTGCTTTTAACATTTATATCTTTATCCCATCAATCCGGCTTGCTTACCCCCTTTCATTTTACCTACTGCCTCACGAACTTCCCCCACACTCACAACTGGCTCTTCATCACTCCTACAAGATGGTTATCCTCCTTGCCTATACACGAATCCACAGCTTCCCTATTTCATCAACATTTAACAATACTCCTCAAAATATTCCTTCCATCTTCCCAATACCTCTAACCTCTCCATCTTAATAACTCTCCTCTCCTATTTTTAAATTGACAAATCAATTTGT